GTTGGGGGACCGTGAGACCCCTCACACACCAGAGCCTCACACCCAGCCTCCCTGCCAGCCCCAGACCACCAGGAGCCCCTAGGAATGCAGCAACTGGGCCGTGAGACTAGGGTGGTCTGTGAGCTCTGCGTGTGATGGCTTGCAGCAGAGCATGCTCCTGCAGCCCCTAGAGCTTCAGTGTTGTGAAAGCCAACTCTCCCCTCTCTACCTTCTCCGCAGCATGTTAATGGCTCGGCTGGAAGAACTGCTCAAAGTTGCAGACAGCTTGATTTATCCCAGCTCTGTTCTTAAATGGTTGCTAATTTCTCACTGCAGGGAAATTCACAGTTTCTGGGTGAGTCAGTGTCAGAACAGTTGAGAGCCAACGGCCTAGCTCTTACGAGCTGTAGGTGCTCATATTCATGCTCCCACAGCCCGGGTCCTGGGGTCATGTGACAGGGTGGAACCCAGCATCTTCGTTTCTCAGCTTCTCTATGAAGACAGCAACCAGTGTAGTGCAGCATGTGTGGGCACTTGGAGTGTGTCCCGAGCGGGGCTGTCTCGACAGCACAGCTGTATATCACGGGGCCAAGACCCCTGGGACCGTGTGGAGTCACATCCATGTGCTCAGTGCATCGAAGCTGCCTCAGTCCGTGCAGGGTCCGTGATGTGCTGTCAGTGTGGACAGTGTAGAAATGACGACCAGGCTGAGGTCTCTGTATCTGCTCTTTTGAGTGCCTTGTGTGACATTGCTGCCAGCCGGGACTGTGCTGTTGGTGCTTGTCTCCAGTCCGACAGCCGTGTCCAGACAGACCACTCACCGAGCTGTGGGTTCTCGTCCAGAGCAGCCTTGGGGACCCATGGGAGTTTCAAGGGCAGCAAGGCTGGAGAGCCCTCCTCAAGGATTCCTGGGAATGGCCCCTTCAAAGCTGTGTTTGTGCTGCCCTGAGGACACGGATGTGCAGCCCTTGTCTGCCTCCCTCCTGAATCTTGCATGTTCCTCCCTCCTTCCTGCCTGGTTCCTGCCTGAGCGGTCTGAACTGTTCCCTTCTCCTACCACAGACACTGAGAGGAGCCGCTGTGACGGTGTGTCACCTGCTGCTGACTGTTGTGCTGCATCCATAACTTCCCTGGGAGAAGAGCCCTCAGTTTCCCAGATGTCCCCGACACATGCCCACACGTGTTTATGCGTCGTGCCTGTCTAGCACGGGCTGAGCCTTTTCAGTCAGGTGGTCCACACAGGTGAGGCTGCCAGTCACTGTGTGTTTGTGGCATATCAGGGACTTGTGGGAACATCCGCTTGAGCCCGCTGTCTGACTCACAGCCAGAGAGGGCTCATCGAGGGCCCCTGGGTATGTCAGAGGCTGGCAGCGTCATGTGCTGATGACTAGACAGCTTGTCATCCTGGGCCACAGAGGGAACAACTGTTTCTAAGGTTTGGCCAGACTGCATGAGCTCCATTCTTTCCATCCCTGTTCTATGGAATGTGCGTGGTGCTGTTTAATTACTTCAATTCCTCTCTTAAAGAAAAAAGGCTACCAATAGTCTGGAGGTATTAGTGCTTGGAAGGTTAGCTCTGGGATTTTCTTTGTCTGCAGACTAGGAGCTGTTGGATGTCTTTTCAGTATGGGCAGTATTAATTAGTTCCAAGTGCATTTTGGCAGACAGGCCAAGGGGTCTTAGCAGGCTCTTTGGAATGAATTCTATGTTTAAGACTTTAAAAATGGTGAGACTTTTTCCAAATCATAGGTTGAATAGCAACCAGCATTTATTTTGAGTATTTATACAATACAATACTGAAAAGGATAGAGAGGCAGTTGTTTGGGCCACAGATTATTATGTGTGATTATTCTTTGACTATTAGGCAAGGGTCACAAAACACATAGTCTTTTCTTTTTTTTTGTTGTTTTTTTTTTGTTTGTTCATTTGTTTGATTTTTTGTTTGAGAAGGTCTCAAGTTCCTTAGGCTGGCCTAGTCAAAATGACCTTGAATTTCTGGTCTTCTGACTTCCATCTCCCATTGCTAAGATTATGGCCAGACACCACTGTGCCTGGTTTATGTAACTCTGGGGTCTGAGCTTCAACTGAGCTCCATCCTCAGCCACTCATAGTCTTCCTTTTGCTACATGTTCGCTGTTCACAAGGAAGGGTCGATTGACTTAGCTTTTCAGGAAGATGACGATGGAAATGGAAATCTCAGAGTCTGTCATAGAGGTGGTCTTTGTGGACACAAGGTCTGTGGCCCCTTGGTCCTGCTTCATATGGTAGTGTTTGTGTTTGTCCTGGCTGAGGTGTTTGTTAAGCCTAACGTTGATACTTACATATTAGGACTTCTGGATTGTGTGCTTAACCAATCACAGCTTTTGTTCATTTACTATTTGAAGTCTATTTTGGATTTATTCACGTTTCACAACTCAGTACAGCCATTTAAAGTCCGTGTTTCTTCTTGTCCTGCAGCTTTCAGGCCACTCCAGGCTGTGAGGACTAGTGTGGGTCCTGCAGTGCAGTATCCAGGATGGGACAGTGCTCCTCCAGGCCTGGATGAGATAGTCGCTCTGTTTTCAGGGACATGCAGGTTCTCACAGTGGCTCTGTCCTGTGACTGAGTCCTCCTCCCATGACAGTCGATGCCAGGCTTGTGGTTATGTCTGTAGTAGGGTGATTCTGTCTGGATCCAGTGAGCTCTAGAGCTCATGACCAGTGTTGAGCTTTTCTGGACCTTATTTAAAAAAGAGTTTGATGTTCAAAAGTGAACAGTTCCTAAACCTAAGTTCTGTGAGTTACGTGGAGTGTGTGGGGCGGTGTCCCAGAACTCATACTTTTGTTTAGGATTTCCAGAGAATGAGAAAATAAACAACAGGAAACAAAACTGGAAGCATCCTTTAATCATGCATTTTTATTTTCTTTTATTTCATGCAAGCCTGTGGATGTAGTAATAAAACCCAGCTCACGTGGGCTGAACATCTCTTTTATGAAGCGCTCAGGACCATACTGGTTTTGGATTGTTTAC